TAAATATCTACAAAAATTTTTTTTGTAAAGAGTCAGGGTTCTCCTACACCCCACAGGATCCCACCTCCAAGTCTTGCTGTGTTTGCACATACCCACACAGATTGACCTGATGGTTAATGAGTCTGTTGAGTAAAGTTGGCACCTCAACTCAGCATTGATCATCAAGCCTCTATAACTTGAACTGTCAGGGAATCTGTTTGTCAAGGTGATAATTTATTTTGTAGCACCAGATACGGTGTGCCAGGGATTGTGTTGTTTTTTTTCTTCATGTGGTATAAAAGCATGACAGACACCATTTCAGGTCCAAATCACAGTCTTAATGGGTAGTATGAGGCAGACAGACCTGTAACTCATGGAGGATCAGCTACCACCAGTGAGAGAAGTGACTTTCATCTTGCTGAACTGGCAAGGCAATGGCAATTTAGCAAAGAGATGTGTGGCACATTGAACTTCCTTCCCTCACTCAAGATTTTTGCACTGGTGTCCTGGTAAAATCATAGGCATTAGTAAAGACACTGTGCCATTTAGGTAAGGAATGGGAGAGTGAATGAAAGCCATGCTTTGGTTCTGATCATGCTGACATGGGGGGCCCCAATTATGGAGATGCAGCCTGTCTAACCAATCAGGTCAAACACCTGATGGGAGGAGGTGGCAGGAGTATTGGACATTGCTTGTGGGTAGGCAAAGCTACCACAGTGCACCGCTGCTCCTGTGTGCTCTCAAGATGTTCCACATCTCCCCACTCTAATTGGCAGATGGCCTCAGTTGCGAGATGATTTAATGGTCTGCGTGTGTGTTTTTTCTTGCCTCACTCAGCCATTAGCAGGGACATCTGTAATGAGTTGGCTAGGTGCGCTGCTGAGAGCAGAAGCTGGGAGTAACATTTTCTAATGGGGGGTAGCACGGTCGTGACGGACTGCGGCGGTAATCAAAGCACTATTTCTTTGGGTTATGATATGTGAGACATCTCTTTTCAAATTGTCCGGGGCAGAGCTAAAAGCTATACTAAATCATCTGATGCTGTTTACCTCAGAAAAACTGCAAAGAATCAAACAGCACAGCATTACTGGGTGTCAACTGTGTGCCAATCCCCTTTTGACTTTCAGTGCACCACAGCAAGACATTTCTAGCTTAGCGTTATCATTAAAAAAAAAACATTTTCATGGCTGTGGCAGAAACAGCTTGGTTTCCTAGTGATCCCATGTCTTGCAGCTGTGCTGTAAGCATGTGTGCTGAATGCTGCACTCAATGGTAAAACATTAGGGCCTCAGCCAAAGTTTGGCCTTATAGGTCTCTGGTTTCTGGCTCTCTGTTGCTGCCTTGATTTCTAACTGCTCCCTCCTGAGCTTGTCTCCGTAACCAGAGCTGGATGAGGTAAGGAGCTGCATCACTGAGCAAGTGTGGCCTTCATCTTATTCTCTATACATGTAGGCAGAGTGGTGGCGAAGTGGCCCCCAGCCTCAGGCCTTTTAAAACTTGATGGCCATCAGTATGTTTGCCACAGCCTCCAAGGAGTTGTCTGCTACTGTACCTGCAAACTAGGTCAGTTTTTGCATTATTTTAGAGATTTGCACCTCACTATGGGAAAAGGAGAGGTTTTGCTCACACAGGCATGTAGACCCACACCTGCACGTTGTCTCTCTGCTTTCCTTCCTCCATTGCCTCTCTCTATTTCACACACACAGTATGAATTTGTTAATATGACCACATATTTGCCATTTCAATACATAAATGTCAATTTAAAGCCAGCTAACACTGTAATGCATGACTACACTAAGCAGCCATACCAATGCTTAGACTGAGCACACGCCGGAAGACTAATTAAAATTGATAGACAGGACTAATACCGATTATGACACTCAGAAACCTGTGCACTTTTGCAGCACTTTAATGCAAGTCTTGGTTAATATACCCATTCTCTATTCATATCACACTGATGAGATTAACTGCAATCATACATTTAAAATAGAGCTTCGAATGTGACGTTGAGATTAATGAGAAAGTGACAGAGCCACCATCTTAAGGTGTTTTTTTTATTTTTAGGAAATGTTTAAATATTTGAATTAGCCCACATTCACCTACTTTAAAATAACTTTCATATAATTTCTAATTCTAATCATCTACCATATATGTGCTGTCTACTGAGTGCCTGAGAGGTGAATGAGGGACCAAAAGCAGACGGGGGTGTGGTAATGAGATGCAGAAAAATGGGAATTGAGGGGGACAGGCAGGCTGGTGATACACAGTAGGAAAATAAGAGAGGGAAGAAAATAACCAAGTATGAGATAAAGAGAGGTGATAGGAGAAACCCGTGCCTGTGGTGAATACAAATGGACAGAGGATGAACACAGGTAGAGGAGCAGAAAGAGTTGGTGGTAAAAAGGGAGGTTGTGTGAGGAGAGCCGATAAAAGAATGTGAGAAAGATGGATTCCCTTTTGGCTAATGAGAAGACAAAGGCAGTAGAATCCACATCCATCTCTGCCCCACAGGAAGCCAGCATTATAGCTCACAGGTAGAGAGAGATAGCAGAGCCTGGGGAAGCTTACCTGAGCTAAGCAACCTTACCTTTGCTGGAGGATTTCGGAGTCCAAGGATAGGCTCAGAGGTCTATTTGTGGGAGTGTGTGGCATGCATACTTATTTATAGTGAGCGTACATACTGGTAGATTCATGGAAGTTTGAGCTGTGTGTCTGTGAATTGTGTATTTGTGCTGCATGTGGGCACGTGCGATGATAAACAGAAAACTGAAAGCAGGGGTAATGAAAAGATGTCTGCTTAAATGACTCATTATTGTGAAGCAGTAGATGGACTAAATGTGAGACACAAATCAAATATTTATATAATAACCACTCTGCATGCATGGTAGAAAAAAAAGAACATTGAAGAACCCGCCTCCATTTAGAGACGCATTACTGTACTCTAACTGATCAAATTGTTAGAAAGGAAAGAGAGAGAAAGGCTCTAAATTATTTTAGATGAAAAGAATCAAGTATTTGCCAAGACAGGTGTTGACTACTACAGACCATCAGGTCAACAATGTGATGCCTTATATTAAAACAGGGTAAACAATTGGCTTATTGGTGATAGTTTAAGTATTTCAAGGGGATTCAAGGGGTTACTGCAGCAAACAAAATAAGCATGCCGTTGCAGAGGATATCTACTGTCTTGTGAGCAAGTTAACACAGGTGCGCATCAACAAAGAAACCAGAGCACAAGTTAATTTGCCATTAGCACGGACCGTGCTGCGTTACGGCTGCAGAAAGTCACTTACAGTAGGTTTGAGCTGTTCCAGTACACTGCATGCCGGTTGCTGGCTCTCGACAGGTGCAAGTTTGCAAGCGCCAGCGTGATGAGGCTGAGAGAAAACGCTGTGAGAGCCATAATCCCCTCCGGTGCTTGTCCAGCCCTGGTTCCCCTCTCTTCCTTCTGCGTCCCCGCTCCTTCTGACGCGTCGTTCACAACATCCCAGCGGTCAAAAACGCCTTTTCAAGTTCCCAGTTACCTTAACAACGGGTTGAATCGGGGCGACCTCTCAGTGGTTACGTGTTCTTCAAATTAAATCCCATCGCGACGTTGCCCATTTGTACATCTTCACTTGTGCCAAATCTATTTGGACTTCTTTCAGCTAAACGCTGCGCACCATCAAGTCACTCCTTTTGTTTGACAAGTCTGCTTTCATTGATGAGTTGGTATCTATACTGTTAATAATGATTAAGGCAAAGTAGGCAACCACATTCAGAACTGACAGCTGAGATCGGTGTTTATTTTTCGTTACACAGCTTTAAAAAGTCGCATTCAAGCCGCTGGGTCTCCGCTGAAACGTTTGTGAATCTTCCCTTCACACCACGCGCTGCGCACACAATGCCACAAACCCGCCCTCTGATGGTCGAAACGCGTTCACAAGTCCATCTATTCTGCTGCCCCGCCCCCTCAAAACACGCACAGTGTGTATGGGCATGTATGTATTTCAATAAGTGTAGAGAAAAATGTAATTCCTTAATTAAAAAAAGTTGAAAACACTATACAATTCTTAAAGTTAATTTTTACAGTAAGGATTTCATATTAAGAGGATTTAGAAACTGCTTAGGATAAAGTTAAGGGTCACTATTTATGGCTTTAATAAGGTTTGAGATTGAAGTGAAGGAGAGAGTTGGGTGTAGGGTTAGTCGACAGACATTAAATTTCACAAACAATAGAAGATAGTCTACAGGTGGGTGCCAAATTAAAGGAAAAACCAACACATGGCAGTGGAGCCCCCTGTCTTAATAGGGGAGCTGTCTATATCACCTAAAGCTCATAATGGCCCAAGCTGAGATGTGACATCCTATGATTGGTCAGGATTAGGTGTGTCTCAGCATCACATACAATAACATGTCGTCCAAGGTCACAAATGGTGTTCGGGTGGGTTGAGATGTGGTCATTGTGAAGCTCCTGATAGAAGCATAGGCATTTCTCTCTCCACCAAGTTTTTCATCTGATTATAACTGTGATACTCCAACTGGTCTGAGGCTCAAGTTGGTTGCCAGATTTTAGAAACATATTGTACAAAAGAAGGTGTTTGTGTGTGATTTCCTTTGTTTGCTTGCTTTGTAAAAAAAAACAAAACAGTTTATTCAGAGGGATTTTTTCTTCATTATAGGATTATACTGGATTCACTATTTAACAGTGGTCAAGGTTCACATTTGGATTCTGACTAATTTAAGAAAAGTAATACAGTCAGTGCAAGACCATCATGAATATAGTAATAATATATGAGTGTGTATAATTAGGTGCATGTGTGTGTGTGCATGCAGGTATATCTGTGTGTTTAATGGTGAAATACAGACCAAGAGGGGTTGTATGAACATTTTGAAGACTTTAATTAACCTGTTCAATTTCACCAGTGGTGGTTTAACCACTCAATTTAGCCCAAAGGCAGCCCACAGTATTAATGGCTCAGTTAATTCCAAATATTAAGCATTAGCCTCAGTTTGATTAACTTTGCCAATTTCATAGCTCATAATGGTGTTCTTTTAGAAGAGGGTATCAGTGATATTCACACCTACAGACGTGGTTATAGACATTGTTGGTGAAACTAGCCCAGTAATTCTAACATTAATCTGTATGACCTCCACTGATGAATGAATGCTCATTACACCTCTTGGGTGGGTTCCTGAAGGTCAAAGTCACACTTCTTTGATTGAAGAGAAGTAGTTGGAGTCAAGTTGCAGATCGGCCGCCTACTTTCTCCTCTCTCAATTCTCACTCATATAGGCTACACAGTCTGTCTATATATTGTAGCTTCCTTTCGTTTGCTCTCACTCACTCTCTGCCTCCCTGTTGTTTTTGTCAGTGATGATGTCTCTCTTGAGTGCCCTCCAGGCATGTTGCCGTGGTGACTGGAGTAAAGGGGTGGATGAAAGAGCAAGTACCATCACTTTCCCCCCTCCTCAACTCTCCTTCTCTCTATCCCACCACCTATCTGTGCGGCTCCACTGGATCACTCACCTCCATCCACTCTAACATTTGTCATCCTTTTGTCGCCTTGTACTCAGGAGGAAAGTGGGGAGCATATTTTTCCATTTCTTCATAAAGTGATGATCTCTCACTTCCTGTTGCATGCGCCGACCATGCAAAGAATGAGATGAAAATACGAAGAGTGTTGTTTAATGTTTTCTGGACTCATCTCAAACAGCAAAGGCACAAATGCATATTTATGATGTGCATTGTGTGTGACTGTGCATTTTGCACGTGTGACTCAGTGAGGCTTCCAAGTGTCATAAGTTATTGAACACGTTTGTTCTGTCGGCTCCCTACCATGTGGTGCATTGTTTATGCATGCTTATTGCCTCCTGTGGCCTCTGCAGCTGCACAGTGTATTTTGCTATAGGCATCGGTGCACGCTATTGTAACAGTAACCATGGCTCGTTACCTTGACTCTGACTCTGTTTGTGATTAATTCATGAACAGCAGCTATGGGTATATTGATTATTCAGATCATTTGTTTTCATCAATCAGCCTCAACACTTGCATATACTGTATCCTTGCTGACTTGATATTGATTTCTGAACTGACTTCATTCCTGGTGTAAACAATATTACAGTAGAAAATGGGCTGGTTTCTCCCTCAGTGTGGTTTCTTTATCTTTCCTTCTGGCTTCAGTTGGTGTTATCTCTAATTTCATACATCCATGTGTTCCTCTTGTCTCATCATCTCATTTTGGAATTATCTCAGCTTTAATGTTAATGGATTAAAATAAGGCTGTCTTGAATGAATTTGATGTCCAGTGGTGGTGTCAGTAAACAACAATTTATTTGATTAATCATTTAATCTCATGAAATGTCAGACTTTGAATATAAAGCAACTGTGACAAAAATAACAACAGAAGCTGTAGGCTTTTGAATTCAGACACAGAGACAAATAAACCTCTCTGTATGGAGGTAAGAGTATGTAAATATGTATCTCTGGCTTGCCACCAGAGCCCAGCATTGTGTCAGCAAACTGTGCTGACAGAGCCACCTCTCCAACCTCCCTCACCCCCTTTCCCTTACTTCCTTTATTTGGTGTGAATCTGCATTTTGCAGTCCCCTTAACTCCACTGTGTCCATACAAATGTGATAAAGAGAGGGATGGATAAAAAGAGTGAGGGACAAAAAAGTTAGTGTTACAGAAAGAGGGGAGGAACCAGAGAATGGGGGCAGGGATAGATCAAGGTTGGAGGTAGGAAGAAATGGAGGGGTGGAGATGGGACTGAAGTATAAACTGAGAAACTGAGGCATGTGTACAGGAAGGATGGAGACATGGAGGCATTAGCTAAATGGAAGAAAGGCCAACAGTGTTTCTGGTAATGGCATGGTGCTGAGGAGAGTGCTGGCCTAAGCTCCAGGTGGGCCTCCATCGTTTTGTCCCCTCGAGTGTGATGCTTAACCTGCCTCGCTTCAGTAAGTACCCAGCTGTGCAAATAGCTAATGTGATTGTGAAGATATAAGCCCAGGATAATGGCATCTGCCAAGCAATCAAGAACAATGTTCTTCAGCATTGGGCTGTGATGAAAAGGGTGCTCTGGGAAATGGATGCTCGAATGAGGACTGAGCCCTTGGGGAACAGAGTGATGTGTTGGTAAATAGTCGTAAAGGACAGAGGGTTGGAGGAGCAAGGAGATGAACTGTGAGGAAAATCTGTTTAAAGGAACAGATAGGGATGAAACAGCAAAATAATGTTAGGAGTAAAGTAGCACAATACTTCTTAATAAATCAGACTATGGTCATCATATGATGGCTTGGAAACAAGGCAGAAAAATAAGCACAAGCAGGCAGAATTAGTTTTCTTAGGGAGCTTGAGCTAGTTTGGAAACTGTTCGTGTTTTGAACCCATTGAAATATATGTTATGGTACACTATAAAAAAAATTCACCTGTACGTAACCTGTCTAAAAAAGTTGGTTTCTTTCTTTATTTTTTCTGTTTATCTCAGTGGATGGACAGTAACAAAAAGAGTAACACATTTTATATAAGCCACACACACATTCAGTATTCAGTAATTCAGCAATCCAAAACTGAATGTATGTGGTCCTGGACTACATATATGTAGTAAATAGTGCAGTTTTTGGCCTTTGTTACACTGAGGGAGTGATGCAGACTCAATCTAAACTCTCTAAAGAGCAACCACATCTTGCATTGCCTTGACTAAAGGTTAATTTTGTGTCAGGCTACAGGACTGTGTTTACGCCTAAACACTTAACTAAAACCACATGGCTCAGAAAAAACATATCTAGCCCACCGAAAGTCTAGGATGGTCTTGGCTTCAAAGACCGAGAAGCACAGAGAGGGTTAGGAAAGTGGAGGGGTGTCAAATGATAGAAAATTATGTTTTGACAGTCAGGAGGTGGTAGGGAGTAGGGGATGACGAAAATAGATGCACTTGCAGTGCCATGGAATATTGAGGAGGGGAGAGAGAAAACAAGAGCCAAGCAGCATGCGTCTGATGAGCAAACAAAAAGAGGAGAAAATTATTAGCATGACTGTTACAGGCAAGCGGAATATTTCCCCCTGCACAGAATCTACAGGAACCTGTAACTAAAACATGCAGGCCATTCATGCTTCCACTGTACCTCAAACCAAGAAGAAGAGGAAGCTGAGGGTGAATGTCGCTGATTTGCACATGCTACAAAAAAATGGACAAACACTGAGATAATGATATTATAACACATCAAAACAAAATCTGATGTTGACTTTTTATTATAGGTGAATATTGGATATGATTCAATATGTAGATAGATCTCTTTACATACGGGGTGGGTGCTTCAGCTATAGACAAGCATAATCACAAAAGAAAATCACTCTAATATAGGTTCATAATTACAACTACTAATATCTACCGAGTGAGTATATTATTGTTATTGATCTGGATCACAAAAGAAAATCACTCTAATATGGGTTCATAACTACAACTACTAATATCTACTGAGTGAGTATATTATTGTTATTGATCTGACAGACACTGGTTGAAATGCTAAGCTTATTTACAAAGATAAATAGATTAAAGATATGGATAGACAGATTAAAAGTTTTCTTTCCTTCACTAGGGTTTATTCTTGGTGAAGCTCAGAGGATTGGTTTTGTATGACAAAGCAAACAACAAGTGAGTTAATAACAGTCTCAAATCAGCAGCTTCAACTGACCACAGGTTGAGCATCGACTGAGGAAGCAATTAAGTAAGCATCTTGGTGAATTCATAAAGGATCGTTTCTCTCTTCCTCTGCCTTCCTTGCAATCTGTCCTCATTGCTGTAAGTAAAGGTAGTGTCCCTGAAATCCTTTAATCATCAGTAATTAGATGGAAGGAGGGCAACATCAGTAAACACAGCTTCTTTCTCATTGTTACTTTGCTAGCT